ATTTGATGAAGGATTGAGAATCACCTGGGATCTATCCTGGGCTTCTTTTCTGGGTGTAAAGAGCATTTCTCTTGTTTCTTTTTTTCTTTTTGTCTAAAGTGTTTTCTGACACATTCTGCTTGACATATTTGTCCTGTATCATAAAATGCATCAGCCACAGTCACAGCCTGTTGGTTTAGTTGCTGGCTCATTGGACCTTTTGATTATGATACTGAAAGTAAGTTTTTGGACTTTTGTTTTGCTTATTCTATTCATTAAAATTTAGATGAACTGTGTTACCATTTATTGGATTCCTGTTGGTGACAATCATTAATTGGGATGTATTATAGAGTGCTCCTCTGGATGTGGTAAAGGCAATCTTTGATGCTTGCTTCAATCTTGTAATTCAAATTGTCCTCCAAAGTGATGATCATGCAGAAATGCAGGTGAAGTATTTGGTATAGTTTTTGTTGTTACTGCAGTCACCTTTGTTTGTTTGTATCTTTACAATATGTGGTCACTTTCTTTATTCCATGATTGAATTTCAGAATGCAACAGAATGTTTGGCTTCCTTCCTGTCTGGAGGAAGACAAGAGTTGCTAGTGTGGGCTGGTGACCCAGCACTTACAATGAAAAGATTACTTGATGCTGCTTCTAGGTAATTCTAAGGACTTCACTTTTGCTGGGTGCAATCTGTAATTTATCTTCATTTTAAATTATTGGAGTACCCCTCTAGTCATATCTTTTGCTTAATTCTATACTTACATATTAACCAATTGTTCTGTGATAACTTAACTGTACCAAGATTCTGACTTATTATTCATAAATAGGACTTGTAGATTGTGAAAGTGGTTGGTTTACCTGTAGAAGAGATTGTCTGGAATAACAATCAGTGCTTAGTGACACTGAGAGTTTGTTACCCAAGAAGAGAGATTTTGTAATTATTACTGAAGTTGTACTTATTCAAAAAAGTGGTTATTAGCATGTTAAGATGCTTTCTCTTCCCCTTAGTTTAAAATTTCAAACTTACATGAAGTTTGCATAATCAGTAAACTTGTAGTGCATTTCTAAGATTTGATCCATGAATGTCACTGATTGCTTTGATGTTTATCAAATAATTGGTTTCTGTCCTTCCTACTAAGTTCTACTACCTGTCCAAGCACCCACTGTATTCTTCATTTTTATGTGTTCTGTGACAGTTTATTGTTCATCATGTGGTGCCAAGATATGTTGGTCTATTGTGTCAAATTTGACACAATTGTTATTTTTTTAATGCATTCCAATAAATTCCTGGTTGATGTTTTACAGACTTCTGGACCCAGACCTGGAAAGTTCAGGATCACTTTTCGTGGGCAGCTACATTTTGCAGCTTATCTTACATTTGCCATCCCAAATGTCTCTGCACATTCATGAGCTCGTTGCGTCTGTTGTGTGGCGTATGCAGTCATGTGAAATATCTGGGTTAAAAAGTTCCTTGATTGTTATTCTCGCTAGACTGGTAATTATCCTTCTAAAGGTTTCTTTTTTCCTTTTGACTTTCTGCTGCTTTACAATGTCCTTATATTTTGTTAAATTATAGAATAAAATGTTGCTATAACTTACATTTCATATAATTTTACTCTTTCTGAAATTGCTGATTATCGTGTGTTTGGTACCTTGGATAACTGGTAGGAATTAATAGCACAATTATAAGAGTTCTCCATCTGATTGTTTACAGCATACCCTTTGGAATACTGTCTTTTAAATGCCAACGAAACCTCACTTTCTATTTTACTGTTAAAATATACCTTATGTTGTCAATCTGTCTTTCCTGAAAAAGTTTGAGGAGACCTTATGTTGTTTCCTTATTAAATTAAAGTTTGGTTTGATATTCTCTTTTTGTGTTTCAGGTACATCTCAGTACCCCAGATGTTGATCGGTTTATCAATTTATTGCTTGCTATACCTGCTAAAGGCTATGAAAATGCACTGGGTTATGTAATGCCAGAATGGACCAAAATACAGGGTAAATATTTTGTTTAATTTATGTTTCTGGTTCTCCAGTTCTAGCTGTTTCAGACAAACAAGAAGTTGCTGTGAAGTATCAACCATTCACCATTTTTTAGGATTTTTCATGTTCAGTAGTATCTAGCTACCATGTATCTATAATTCAACTTTCACAATGGTAAGAACTGAAAACATGTGTCTTATAGAGAAACTAAAAGAAGATAACAGAACAATAATGATGTGAAAACCTAATAGAGCTTTATTAGTCATTACATTTAATGAGGGTTTAGACGCTCATCTATCTTTGTATCTTTGCTGAGTGGATTGTTCACTCTGATACTGAACCAATTTAAGAGAAATGAAAATGATCTGAGTTACTTACCTTTCAGTTTCTATTAACTTTGAGATTAATTTGGCTGATTTTAACTTACGAGAGGCTTTGCTGCTGGACTGATTCCCACAACAGAAAGAATTGTGAAAGACTAGAAGGTCAATATGAAGAATTCTTCAACTAAAGTGAAATGCCCATTGGGTTTTTAACTTTGGTGATATGTTTTATTGTGAATACATATCATTGGACTAGTTGTGAAAGAATTGTTGATTCACTTAAATTTTAATGGAGTTATAACATCCAGCAAAAGAAATTTTGGTGATAGTATCCAAACAAATGAAAAGAAATGATGAAACGTCAGAGCATTAAATTTCATATCTCTTGAGTGAAGGTGAAATTCAAGGAGCCTATCAGATAAAGGTTACGACAACTGCACTGGCTCTATTACTCTCAACACGCCATGTGGAGCTGGCAAAGATCAATGTCCAAGGGAATCTAATCAAGGTTTTGCATTCTTCCTTCCTGCAATCAAATTGTCCTTTAGAAATATATTAGAAAATCTTATTCCATTTGAGAATGCAGTCTAGTGCAGGTATAACTACACGATCAAAAGCAAAATTAGCTCCTGACAGATGGACGACGATACCGCTTCCTGCAAAGGTATGAAGCACATTTTGAACATTGAAAAAGTTGGATTAGTCTTTTAATTGGTTATTTTATAATCTAAGTGTGGCCTTTGAGGCCATTGATATCTTAGTCTTGGCCAGAAACTCTTTTGATACTTTTGGATGAAATACTTGTATCTTCCATTTGAGTTTTCTTTGTCACTATCATTATGAGATTGGAAATGGTGTGAATAATGATTGTTTCCAGCATGATGTGTGATCTTTTCTACCAAAAAAAATCTAATAAATACCCTATTTGTGACTGTGGATGGATTTAGAATATTTAGCAGTAACTTATTATTTCATGGAGATAACATTTGATAAATACTTGTTGGTAGTTTCTTCTGATGGATCATTTGTTCACTAACCTGCTAAACTTAATGCTAACCTGAGTGCATCTGCAATGTTGTATGCAATTTCATCATGATTTCTTCTTTTTTGTGAGAACCTGAAGTTTGAGCTCTCTGCATAACTGCAGATATTTGCTCTATTATCGGATGCACTTATTGAGATTCAGGAACAAGCCTTGGATGATGATGACGATGAGGTAGTTGGGTGACTTTGGTCTCTTACATGAAACATACCAAATATATTATATTGGAATCTTCATTAAGCTAGCTGTCCCTGTAGGATAGCGACTGGGAAGAAGCTTCAAACAATGGAAGTGGTGTTCCACAAGATATACTATATTCGTCTACCGTGCCATCAAATGTTAATCCTTCAGTCGAACATCTTGATGCCATGGCAAAGGTGTTTGATGAGGTGAGGACACAACAACAATGCAAACCCTTACCTATCTGGTTCTCCACATACGTTTACTCTGATGTACTTGGGAGGTCACTGTCTCATGTGTTGCCCAAACTTCCAGGGTGATGATGATGGTGACTATGATGATGATCTTACAAAAGTTGATCCACTAAACGAGGTTTGTTATCTAACATAGGTCTTGTTAAAAATTAGTGTGCCCTATTCTCATAATTCACATCATGCTTTGCAGATCAAACTGCCAGAGTTTTTGACAAGTTTTGTTCTGAACTTGTATGAAACCGATCAGGCACTCTTCAATTATCTTTCCCAGGTAGATTTGTGCATAACTGCTACTTGATATAGTTTGGAGTAGTAGTGTTTAATCTCTCTACTAATGCTGCCACATTCTCACGCATTGCAGAACCTGACAGATGTACAAAAATCTGTTGTGAGAAAGGTTATAAGAAGGTAACTTTAACCATTGGTAATGTTTGTGATAAATGAAGAAAGGGCTTGTCAAGAAGAAAGAGAGGAAGAAAGCAGACTTTTAAGGTTTGATATGCTTGTAAGTTGTTGAATGTATGTACAAACAAATTTTGCCCAAATTACATATTTGATTGAAGTCGATGTTGAGCTTATCCATTGAGAGTTATTTATTGCTTCCTTTGCCAGTGAGAGCAAAACGTCAAGTTGTAAATTTTTCAGGAGGATTCAGTGGCTGGTTTCACCACCACCAGGCTAATTGTATTCTTTGGATAGAAACATCGTTACAGAGATCCACCGTGTTTCTGCATAAATAATATATATTCCAGACAATATCTAGTCATGACTAGCTAGCTAATTTGGAATCTCATATGAATGCATGCCTCTAATTTAGCACATCTCAATTTCCAAGATTGATAAATTCGGAAACCCAAGCCTCTCATATCTCTTTTTTCTTTTTCTCGCCCTCTTCTTTTATTATTTTTTTAATAAAGAAACTCATTCATCTGTCAATAAGGTTCACATTACAAAATTAGTGAACCATCTCACCTGTACAAAAAATCCACTACATGAGCAGAAAACTCTCAATTCAAAACCTCGGTCTCTGAACCCAAAGCAAAAAACATCACTTTACAAATCTCACACGGTTGCCTTTCTTGTTTGAAATTCTTATAATTCTTTGCTTAATATTTTGGCCCTCATAAACCTTCTTCTTTGTTTCACATCATTAATTCTTTTGTGTTGATACATCTAAGACCTAAACATCATCAGCAAACCACTCGAAGCATACAGAAAGCAAGCGGAGCACAATAAATAGCAAGCTGATGATTGCATGAAGATATTACCAAGAATTGCAGTAGTTAGTTTCAGAAACATCTGTGGGTGTCAGCTAACAAAGAGGTACAATAGAGGAGCACAATAAATAGCAAGCTGATGATTGCATGAAGATATTACCAAGAATTGCAGTAGTTAGTTTCAGAAACATCTGTGGGTGTCAGCTAACAAAGAGGTACAATAGATTCCTAATGATACCAACAGGATTACTTGTGGTTTCCATATTACTGCAGAAAAGAAAATGATGAAAGGAACGATACCCCTAATCCCAGCATCGTCCGCCCATCACCTGCTTCTCATAAGCTTACACAGGCTCGTCGGAAGGCTTATCGTCTTCAGGCTTCGACTTGGATGCACCCTCCATGTCAGCATTGAGGTCTTGGATGCTCTGCTCCAGTTCATCTATCTTGCTTCCCATTTCATCTAGTGAATTGCAGTTAAGAAGAACATCCACATTTGGACACAATGCTAGCGCTTACGCATGAAATATAAAGATGAAGAGAATGCAGGGGTTGAAAAGGAATAAGAGCCTTCATGCGAGCATAATTCAAAGGCATAGGTTTTGCAATGGAAATGATTAATAGTTTGGTTGAGGCAGAGATGAAAATGCACAAATTGCAAACAATTTGATTTAATTTCGATTAAGAACAAAATAGACAATTGTAAAAATAAATACAGAGTTTAATCCAACATTTATCACCAAAACCTGCTCCCAGAAGGAATGTCCTCTGTTATGCCCATTATGAACTCTTAAACTAGGTCCATTTAGATTAAGCATTCTAGAGTTCCTGCCAAAAATTGGACAGTCATTGCAGATTTGGAGTAAAATTTTGCAAGCAGTATTTTGAGTATACCCATGAACATAAAAGGAACATGCATTTATTTTATCATGTGTTTGATGTTGCCACCATACTGTCTTCCGTATTCAATCTCGAGAAACTGGAAACCTTATGTTCTTACTGAGTTCATGAAGTTAATTAGTTTCTGTAAATGCAGCAACGTAATGAATACCATTGCCCAATCATCTAATAACTTGCTTCTTGTTTATGTACAAGTATTGTTTGATCGGAAGGTACTTGGACATCTGAAATACTGCACCAATTTGTCACTCCTAGGCAAGATTGGAAAAAGCATTTTAACAGCTTAAAGAGGTGAAAATGAGGCTTATAATATGATTTACCAGTAATGTCAAATTGATTAAATCAGCAGAATTTGAATCCTGAAAGAAAGCACTGCAAGAGAAAGATACAACTATCAACTCAATAACTGGCATATTGAAAGGTATGTAATACTCCCACTTAGGGCATAGACACTACTTTGATATAATGATATAACAGTACATATGGTTCACAATTAACAACTGTAATATCGAAGGCAAATATATAATTAAAATGAGTGAGTTATTCTGATCCTAGTTTATCACACACTAGAAATGTGTAAACACTGAGTGAAACAGTCAACCAAGATGTCCAGTAAAACAAAAGACAATATGTCCTATGCACATTGTTAAGACAGGCTTGGCAAAGGATATTCTTTGAAACAATGCCCTCTGACATTGCTTGGAACCTGGTTTTCTGTAAAAAGGAACTTCCAAATTAAGAAACCGCATATGCTCCAGTAAAAACAAAAAATTCTTGGTGGAAAGACAAAATTTACCATCTGCACGAGGAGGTTTTGTACCTGAAAGGAAAGTGAATAGATTAACAAAATCAATTTACTTTAATATGAGTTTGTCAAGAGAGAAAATAAATAACCATACATTGTTTCTTTATGATAAAGACCCTAAAGTTCATTAGCTATGAGGCCAACTTTGTGCTGGTTCCATCACATTAAAACATATGGAAATGAGTAAAAAGAATGATATCAATCTTTTTTGAAATGTCAAAAATGTCATGGGAAAGAAAACTCACAAATGCTGTCATATCAGCAGTGCTCTGCATCGAACTCTCCGAGTCTTGATCGGGTTGCTATTGGCATTAAGGAGGCAGAAGCCAGCAGATGTGGAGTAAAAGAGGATTATCATTATAAATACATATAAAAACTAGAACACGTAATGCTTCATGAATAATTAAATTTGGCAGTTAGGAAAGGAACTTTTTAACTGAAAACAACAAAATGTCTCGATGCAGATTTAACTGAAACAGAAGTAAATATATGAAGATTAGTGATCATCTAACTGAACAATTTGAGTTTTTCCAAGTTAGAGTGAAACATCAAGAGCTCCGAGAAAAGGAAACATATTCGGAGCTCAGCAGCTCCACCTATCCTCAGCTCACAACCTCATACTTTTTAGGTAACATGTTCACAATAGACTATCATTTTTGTTAAACAGAAATTTACAGTATACCTCTGCAGAGCTACTATTGATCTTTTGGACCAACAAAGATGATGTCTTAGTGGTGGCAGATGGCAGTGGTTTTCCTGGCGCATACTGATTCTACTTACCAACAACTCTTTATCTTTATGAAAAGTCAGTTTAGTGCTTCTTTTCACCTCCTTACGATTTACACATAAAGAATTTGAAAATTGTGCATATGTCATAAACTAACCCTCCCTATGATTATGAAGATCAAAATTCTCTGAACGATATCAAGTCACAATTAACCGTCCCTCCGAAAGCAATACTACATAACAAAACCCCCTTTTTTTCGCTCATTAGCATGATCAATAACATACAGAGAAAAAGCTACTCGCACTGAGGAGCCTCACTTGTGGCTATTATAATCGCTTCAAGACCACATTCACCCACTTTCTTTGAGTAGGTTCATAATGTCACTGAGGGTTTTACCACGTCCCTTAATTCCACCCGGCACAAAGGGTTAAACCGTGCCCATTTGGTCAAATTCACAAGGCAAAACAATTCGATGTGAAATTACACAAAAAATGGTCAAGATCGCTTCATCTGATCAACTCAGATCTTACGCACCCGAACCCAGTATGAGATCCGCGATAGCCATCACAAAACAGAATCAGATCGATCCGAGTGGAGAGAGATGGGGGAGGTGCATTGACAGTTTGGGCTTTCGAATGGACTGACCTTGACGCATCCGGGGTTCGTGGCAGCCATCGTCGAGGAAGGAGATCGAAACCCTAACAGATCCGAATTCGAAAGAGCTACAAGGCGAGCTAAGGATGAGAGAGAGAAACGCGAAGGGATTTATATAGTGTCGTCGAACCGAGGGTTCAAAATTTGAAAGCGGTATAATGCCCGGTAATTGAAGTTGGAGCAGCCGTTACGATCCATGATGATGTCAACATGTCCCGCTGTGACAAGCCAGTATCGTGCCGTTATCAAGCGGTTCCCATTATATTCGGACTATTAATTTTTTTAGGTAATTAGTTCTTCAATTAATTATGACCGGCTCCTTGCGCGATCGACTTTAGCTTATGTACGAGTGCCAACCAACTCATACTCGTAAATATAAAAGCTAATCTTCCATAATCAAAAGAGGGAGGCACTTCGAATACTTAACTCTCTCTTGTTCCACAAAAAATTAAGTTAATCTTCAGAGGGGTCGAGTCGGGAAATCCCCCTTTAGACCTCGACTTGTGTGCAGGAGCCCAGCAACGAAGAAGCAAGTCACTCGCCAAGAGAGAAGACCATGCTCGGGGGACGAGGTTCGAACCCAACTCGACGCTCGCCCTCGCCACCTGAGCATCTACATGGGCAATCTTGTACATCGAAAACTAGATCGAGCCGTGCTGACACCTCACATCAAAGTTTACTAACACATATATAAGCTTCTGATTAGATTCTAATTAGAAAAGAACAAAAGTAAAACAAGTGGTGTTGAGGTATCCAGCAAATTGTTAAATTTTTATATTTTTTTTCCTATTCTATAAACCCTTAAATTGGTATATCAACTCTTAGTAAAAGCTCAAGTTGTTTTTTTAACAATAAAAATAAATATATTAACAAAGACTAAGAAGCATCTGGGGAAACAAAGAGATGATGATCGAAGTTTGAGATTAGCCTGTGCACCTTGCTCGCTTGGGAAGGGTACGTGGAATGTTGTTTTCTTCCCTAGTGATGATGTGTGTCCACGAGACAACATTAACAAGGTTGACAAAATTTAGACAATCAAAGATGAGGGTTTTAAGCTTCCAAGGCATGAGGATACTGCTGTTAAGGATCTTGTTATGCGTGAGAGAACTAGTCCTGACAATAATGTCATGAAGCCCTTCAGAATGAGCACGATGAAGAGCGTCTCTGATACCCCATGGTTCAGCTTCAATACCCTCATGAGTGGATAAGAACCCTCGCTGCTCTTAGTGAGAAAACTGTATTGTTAGGTGCATAAGAACCATCACAGTCAATGATAGAAACATGTAGGTAAAGACTGTAATGCTATGACCATCGGCATGAGATTGGACTCTATACCATCCTTTTTTATGTATGTTACATAAAATGTCCTAAACTGGGGGACTTAGAAGGATAATTATGTTTTTGTTCATGTTGAATGGTGAGTTGGGTGCAATCATAATATATTTAACAGGTGTAACTATCCAAGTAGAAGTAAAACGATTTGAAAATATGCTAAGAAGCCACAACCTTCATTAGATAGAGCGATATAAACGAGATAGGTCCACCAGCATCCAATCACATCAATGGTGGCAGTATCAACTATAAATATAGGTGACACAACTCCTGAATTGACTTCCACGAGAGAAAATATTAAGAATATTTTGATTAAAAAGAATATTCAAAGATATTGAAATGTTAAACCATCTAGATGATCTTTGGGTACCTGCAAGGACAAATGTTGCAGATGGGAGATAATATATGTCATAGAAAGGTCAAAATGCTTAGTTTTCAACATGGAAAGTGATGTGTTGAGTATAATCACTTCTCGACTGCATGATCACCATAATGCCAGAGAGACTTTATGTTTTGGGCCACACAATCACATACAATGAAGTGTGAACCAATTGAAGTCCAGTGTGACTGTCAGATGAAGCTTGATGACATATCACTCTCATCATTGAAGATTGATGACATCCATGTAGCCCATCTGAAGTAGTTCATGCATGGCCCCATGACTGATAATGCAACCAACACAATCTTTATGCCTTAATTCTTTAAGTTTATATATTTTAGGTAAAAAGAGATACTAGAAAATGTCCAAAAAAAAAAGGCTTTTCTTGGGATTCGCTCACCATACAAAGATGAGTGGTTGTAGATCTAAGTCTTTTTTGTAAAAAAAAAGAGAAAAGAATATTCCCTTTTGGAAAAGGAAAAGAATATTCCCCAAAAAATTAGGGAAGAGACTGTAGCTCATATCAACATGCAGGAGATCTACACAGTAAAATTAGCCAAGTTTAAACCCCATGTCTTGAACAGAAAAATAAGGTACACCCTCAAAATCATGTTAATTTTCTCGAAAAAGAAAAGGTGAAAGTTTGAGCTTGAAGATGCTCAAGACGAACTAAACAGCAGTGTTCTTTCTCATAGCAACAACACACATGATTCTTGCCACTGGATCTTTTAGAAAACAGCATGTAAGATAAACAAGCCGAGAACAGCTTCCATCCCTTCATCATCACCTCAATGAAACAAGAAACTAATCATGGTGGGTGGGAATATCTAAATTATATATATATATAGAGAGAGAGAAAGAGACAGAGAGAGAGAAAGTTCATTACAGGAAAATCACACTAGTGCTGGAACTAAAAGGCATAGCTTTTTTTGCCCATGGAGTCGGCCGTCTTAAGGTTCTTGGCTATGAACTTCTGAGCCCTCTTGCTTCTGATCTCCACCCTCATGCTATCCGTCTTGCCCATCTTATCATAAGGCTTCTTCCCCTTCAGTGACTTCAGCTTGGCCTTGAGGCTGCCCACCAGCTTTTCTAGTTGGTGCCCCATCACCACCATCTTCCCTGTGTTCCTGCAAACAGAACAACTAATCTTTATGGCAAGGACAGGAACTTGAACTTCCATAAGAATTCAGCATCGATTACAGAACAGAACAGGGGAGAGAGAAAGAGAGAGAGAGAGAGAGAGAGAACTTCATACCACCTGGTGTGTGAATGATGAAGGGTAGAGGTTGAGGCTGCTTGTGGGTGTTTTATACAAGTATACTACTTCTCTTTTTGTTGTTGTGAAACATAAGGAAAAGAATATCATATATATATATACATGTTTATATAAAAGAAAAAAAACATTTTTTGGGGGTTACGATGGAACGAAGAAAAGAAGTGGAAAGTTGATTTGTCAACAACCAACCAAAGACCTTTCTACTTAAGAAAAGTTCTCTTAAATTCCAAAACATTGAGGTGCAGTCAATATAGCCTACCACATCACTGACTTTTTTCCATACTATTCAGACAAAAAGGTGCACGTCATCAGAGATTTCGTTGTTAAAGATCGTAACAAAATAACTTCTATTATCTCAGGCGGGTATTGGGGTTTTAATTCGTAGATATATGATTTAGGTAAACTTGCTGGTTGCGATATGCCAGATTAGGAGGTCCGAGACACAAATAACTGTATTTGAATTATTATTGTCACAACACAAAATTAATCTTGACACAATAGGAAATAACAGTACATTAATTTACATCCGTTGATGGCATAATTTGGCTTCGAATGTAACTTAATTAACTCTCTAGGAATCTAAGAGGGTATTTTCTTGATCTCACACTCACATGTTAAAAATTCTCAACCATACTTAGGCTAAAAAATTGCCTAAAATCAAAACCACCACAACAACAATAGTTACTACTATTCAATCTCGAGATTTTTTTTTGTTACAATAACCCATGCCATATTTTTTAAAAAAATAGTTTTTATTTATTTAAAAAACGGCATATCATATCATTATATTAAGAGTTCAATATTCTGAGTTTACGGATTTAAGGTTTATTATAGTACCGTAACAGGTCTTGTATGTTAACTTAAGATACTTCAGGCATCTAAAAAATAAACTTCAGACAAGCATGTCACATAATTTAGTACAAGCAATCTTCCAAGTGGAGCCTCCTTGATTGCTTTTGAAGGGTGCAAACAATAGGGATTTTGTCGTCACGGCCAGAATTAAGGCAGCGTGGCGACCACCATGAAGACTAAATAACATACTTCCTTTTGCGTCCTTCCAGCATGAGACTGTCATGTACAAGGGAATACGCATACGCACACAATGGATGTTTCGTACACCATGGCATCGTCGACACATGTGGTCCACGTGCAACGGTGAATGCATTAAAGACTCGACAACAAAGAACCAAAGTAATGCTTGGAATGGGAGCGGCTAAACAAGTGATCAGAACTAAACTAGAACATCAACTTAAATCCAATTATTGACACCAATAGCTACATAATATAAATCGTATTTAGATGAAAACACGTCAAACATTATCACGATCTGTTACGACTAGAAATGATGAGCTACGATGAACAATATGATCTTTGGAAGAAGGAGACAATATCTAGCAAAGCTCGATGAATAGAAACAATGTGGATAGTTTGTTGTAGCCTAACACATTCAGAGATGCAATGCGACACATTGAGACACAATGGCATGCAGCTAGTATCAATGTAAAACCAAAGATGCAACGTGATAGCAACCAAATTTAGTGATCGAACAAACATAACTACTCTTCAAGTACAAAAGCCAAGACTAGCAGACACCGTAGGAGAGAACTAATTTATAGAGCATGATTCGGAAAGGAACTCAGACATCCAAGGAAGAATTGAGCAGCACAAGCTCTCAAGTCCGTCAAGGCGAAAGCTCTCAGGCGGCCACTGCGAATGTTTTGAGAAACAAGCCTTAGATTTGTCATCATTGACGAACTTCAGTGTAGTTAAAAGAAACAACTTTAATGCTTCTAGACAATCAAATAAAGATCGAGCATAAATCAATCACTAGTCTAAAACTAAGACATCCAAGGAAGGGAGAATCTAGCAGCACAAGCTCTCAAGTCCGGCGAGGCGGAAGCCCTCAGGCGGCCACTGCGAATGGTTTGAGAAACAAGGCTTTGAATTTATCGCCATTGGAATCAAGCATAAAAATGAAAAAAAAAATTGAGATTTAAAGCTTTAACAATTGAAAAATATAAAAAACACATCAAAAAACATCGGGACAACTTAATTTGTTGATCGATCTCAGACATCCAAGGGAAAACAGGACAGCACAAGCTCTCAAGCCCGGCGAGACGAAAGCTCTCAGGCGGCCACTGCGAATGTTTTGAGAAACAAGCCTTAGATTTGTCATCATTGACGAACTTCAGTGTAGTTAAAAGAAACAACTTTAATGCTTCTAGACAATCAAATAAAGATCGAGCATAAATCAATCACTAGTCTAAAACTAAGACATCCAAGGAAGGGAGAATCTAGCAGCACAAGCTCTCAAGTCTGGCGAGGCGGAAG